TATGGTAGTCATGACTCTTCATGCCTGAAAACTTGTCATTCTCACGATCAGCACACCTAGATAGGTTTGAAGCATAACCGTCTGGGAATTTAATCGAATGTTTAACACATTCCAGTAAACTTGTTCTTGCGGTCTTGTTCAATGTGTAGGGAGGGAAAGGAGCTTGCCCATTGCTATCAACATGTAAATGTTCCCTATCACAGAAAAGTTCTATATCCAATCTTGACTTGATATTGTCTTTCGACTTACCCTTCACATTCATAAGAGTATTCATGATGTTGTCGAAAAAATTCTTCTCAATATGCATCACATCAAGATTATGTCGAAGATTAAGGTCCCTCCAGTATGGTAGCTCCCAAAATATGCTTTCCTTGTGCCAATTGTGGTATTTCCCATATCCAGGTTTCTTCTTGTCGTGGCCATTTCCACCACACTCAGATGTTTTTGGTGGATTGACACCCTTTAACCGCTCCGAATAAACTTGCTCACTAGTCAAAGATTCAGGAGGAAAATCATTCAAAGCGTGTTTTCCTTTTAAGAAGTCTTTTTTATTCTTCCTCAGTGGATGGTCATGAGGAAGAAATCTTCGATGACAATCGAACCAACATGTCTTCCTTCCATTAGGCAGATAAAAAGCCTTACAATCTTCCATGCAAATTGGACAAGACAATTTACCATGGGTCGTCCATCCTGATAACATGTCATATTCCGGAAAGTCGCTTATCGTCCACAAAAGCACTGCTTTAAGATTAAAATTTTGATTCAAGGAGACATCATATGCTTCAACTCCGGTAGACCACAACTCTTTCAACTCCGCAATCAGAGGTTTGAGGAAGATATCTAGACTAGCTCGCGGGTGATTCGGTCCAGAATTCAAAATTGTGAGAAACAAGTACTCTGTATTCATGCACATACCGGGGGGTAGATTATATGGAGTCAAAATCACTGGCCACAACGAATGATTATTAGACATTCCAAATGGATTGAAGCTATCCGTACATAAGCCAAGATAAACATTACGAGGTTCTTCTGCAAAACGGGGATGTTGATCTTGAAAGTGTTTCCACTCCGCCGCATCTGACGGATGACACATTTCACCCTCCTTTGCTTGGTGCTTTGCATGCCATGTCATTGCTGATGCAGTCTTCTTGCTCTGGTACATTATCTTCAATCTATCAGAAATAGGTAGATACCACATACGACTATATGGTACTTTCGTCCTACGCCGTTCATTTCTAGGCTTCCATCTTGGTGCATCGCAAAATTGACATGTATCCCATTTTTCATCCTCTTTCCAGAAGATCATACAATTGTTAACACAAACATCAATTGTATAGTATGGGAGTCCCAAATTGCGCATACCCCTTTCTGTCTCGTAATGTGAAGTGGTTGATTGGTTTCCAGCTGGTAAATAGTCTGTTAACATTTGGCATACCGAATCCACACACTTTTCACTCATATTATAATCTGTCTTATTTTGCAGAACTCGAGCAGCTAAGGATAACTGCGAGTGACCTTCGTGACAACCATCATACAAAGGATTTTTCGCTCCTTCTAACAAATCGTAGAATTTTTTTGAATGGTTGGAAACCGGATCTACAACATTTTGATAACTATCATCCTGTTGATAATTATCATAATTCACATTAACACAAAATGCATCATTCACCATTTCCACATATCTATCTTCTACTAAATTACCAACTTCTTCATTACCACTTAAATGCGTTGGATCAACATAACTCGTTCCTAACCCCATATCGATTTCTTCTCCGTGGTTGTACCAAACATAATAATCTTGCATAAATCCTCTACTATATATATGTTTCAAGATTTTTTTCCCCGAGAGAAATTTTTCGTTTTTGCATTTACTGCAAGGGCAAAAGAACTTACCGCAATTGCTCTGCGTTAATTCTTGACTATTTGCAAACGTCATGAAGTCCTCCACCCCCATTACAAACTCTCTCGAGAAAGTTCCCGTTTCTTCATCGATCCTCTTGTACATCCAATCACGGAAATTAGAATAGTTGTTGTAATTGCCCGTCATTGTTGTTCACGGTTTTTTTTAAACTCTAAAATCGTTTATATTTGTTTCTTCCACGGATGAGAAAAAGAAAGGAGTCGGTTTTCTTCTATATATAAAAAATTTAGCGATTGTTTTACTACTGTTTTGCTACTATTTTGCAACCGATTTTGCGACTACTATGGTCAGTCATAAAAAATTGGTATACCAAACTCAGTAACGATTTCCACGTGTTTTAGAACTGAATTTTGCGACTGATAACCGACGTAAATATACCGACTTAATATGAGTAGCTAAACAGTCGTACAATGGCTACTAATTAGCAACCGATTTTTGTAGTCGTAAAATAGCTACTAATTAGCGACCGAATTCTTTTAGTCACAAATCAGTCGCTAAATAGTGAGTATTCAGTCGGTAAATTTAGCGACTGAGCTTGTAGTCGCAAAATTCAGTTGCTAAATCCATGTTTTCTTGTAGTGACCATTGGCGTTGGGTGTAGGTACGTCTTATAGCAAGCTATGCTTCACCTTGTTAGGGTGCGTGCAGATGAGTATGTTCTCAAGTGAAGCTGAGAGTTTCTTAAGAGTCAAGAGAAGAGTTAAGAGGTGAAGAGCCAAGGTAGCAACCGTAACGTAATTATAAGCTGATTAAATTTTAAAGTATCTATATGTCATTAATGCGGGGTCGTATGTGTTATCATATTTTATGTAATCGCAATGAATGATTAATGTTCAGACAAAGTATAACCTATATTATAATGAGAGAGTTTCAAGACTCCGCAGCATGTACACGTCAACGACATGTGGGCCCGCCTTCTTTTTTTTTCCCCTAATGTGTGCCTACTGTTTCTTTTTCACCAGATCTCTTTGGGCTTTATGTTTCCATGGGCTTTAACATAAACATTTTCAACCTGTAACTTCTTCTCTTCTAGGACTTTCCGCGTCTGAGGTATGTTCCTATTCTGGCGAGTCTTTTTACATTTTCGATCTTTCGACTCCTCTCCAGATCTCTTTCAACGAAACGACTCCTCTTCAAGTTATGCTTTCACCGTCCTCCTATATACAGAGATGGTATATGGTGAGTTCTCATTTGTCAACATTTCTTTCCATTTTTTTGCGTCAAACACTGCAACCGCCGTTACGGATTATGATTACCTCTGATCCATTTCTTTTCTTTTTCCCAAACCAGAGCATGACAGAATGGTCATTCAAAGATCCCATTGGATGCATGTTTATGAGACCGTGACGTCTTCCCCAAAGAGCAGACGCTGGATAGTACGATTCGTAGGAAGCCATTTGTTTTTGTAAGTGATTTTGTTTGTGCCATAAAGGAAGGTGTTAAGAAAGAGGAATAGAGAGCAATTCCATGGTGGGATTCTCCTTCTTACTTCGTTTTTTTTTTTGGATTGACTTTTTGAAAAGGAGTTCACATATCCCTTGCTCTTTTTTGGATATCTGCAGGTTTTACAGTTGTTAGCAGTATTATTATTTTTTAGTATGCGTGAATTTTGAGGTGGAGCTGACCTTTACGGTTTGGAAGTTCGGAAGAGGAACCAGTGATCATTGATGTCGTGTCTGATCCGAGGCGCGTGTTTCCTTTGTGGCGTTTGTTCCATTTGGCGGCTGTTTCCTTAGATATTTTTCTTTTCTGCATGTTAAACTTGTCTGGTGCTGTAAAATATATAAGCGCCTTAGTTTTTGAGCTGTAAATTAATTGTTCTAATTCAATGTTTTGTTCATTTATTTGATTCCGGAACGTATATTTGTGGTAGAGAGGACGTCTTTTATTTTTCCTCTACCATTTTCTTATTTCAGAAGATTAATATGATAATGTATAAAGGGAACTCACTCAAGGAAAGGGAGTGTGATGAAAATCTATATTATAATGAGAGAGTTTCAAGACTCCTCAGCATGTACACGTCAGCGACATGTGGGCCCGCCTTCTTTTTTTTTCCCCTAACGTGTGATTCAATCGCCTGCTGTTTCTCTTTCGCCAGATCTCTTTGGGTTTCATGTGGGCTTCATGTTTTCATGGGCTTTAACATAAACATTTTCAACCTGTAACTTCTTCTCTTCTAGGTCTTTCTGCGTCTGAGGTCTGTTCCTATTCTGGCGAGTCTTTTTACATTTTCGATCTTTCGACTCCTCTCCAGATCTCTTTCAACGAAACGACTCCTCTTCAAGTTATGCGTTCACCATCCTCCTATATACAGAGATGGTATATGGTGAGTTCTCATTTGTCAACATTTCTTTCCATTTTTTTGCGTCAAACACTGCAACCGCCGTTACGGATTATGATTACCTCTGATCCATTTCTTTTCTTTTTCCCAAACCAGAGCATGACAGAATGGTCATTCAAAGATCCCATTAGATGCATGTTTATGAGACCGTGACGTCTTCCCCAAAGAGCAGACGCTGGATAGTACGATTCGTTGGAAGCCATTTGTTGTTGTAAGTGATTTTGTTTGTGCCATAAAGGAAGGTGTTAAGAAAGAGGAATAGAGAGAAATTCCATGGTGGGATATCTCCTTCTTACTTCGTTTTTTTTTTTATTGACTTTTTGAAAAGGAGTTCACATATCCCTTGCTCTTTTTTGGATATCTGCAGGTTTTACAGTTGTTAGCAGTATTATTATTTTTTAGTATGCGTGAATTTTGAGGTGGAGCTGACCTTTACGGTTTGGAAGTTCGGAAGAGGAACCAGTGATCATTGATGTCGTGTCTGATCCGAGGCGCGAGTTTCCTTTGTGGCGTTTGTTCCATTCGGCGGCTGTTTCCTTGGGTATTTTTCTTTTCTGCATGTTAAACTTGTCTGGTGCGCTGTAAAATTTATTAGCGCCTTAGTTTTTGAGCTGTAAATTAATTGTTCTAATTCACTGTTTTGTTCATTTATTTGATTCCGGAACGTATATTTGTGGTAGAGAGGACGTCTTTTATTTTTCCTCTACCAGTTTCTTATTTCAGAAGATTAATATGATAATGTATAAAGAGAACTCACTCAAGGAAAGGGAGTGTGATGACAAGGAGGAGAAGGAGCAAGGTGAAGAGTTGTTGAGAGAGAAGAAAACTAGGAGATCGATTACAAAGAACAGACCGGTGTTTAGATTGTCTTTGGAGAAAACAATCCTTCCTCCAAAGTCTATAGATACAACAAGGACAGAGATGGCTTCATCAGAGAAAACAAGGTTTGTGTGTCTCTCTATGTAAACACTAATCTTTGTCTGCAAATATTATTACTCTTTTACTGATTTTTTTTTTAAAAAATGCAGAGAAAGACCGGTAACTCAGAGCTCAAGGAAGATTGAATAGAAACCGGTTCACCGTGAAAAATTCAGTTTATTGAAGGAAGTCATTGTTTTGTGTTTCCTTCTTCTTTGGTATTGGTTTTGTTTCTGTTTTTGATTGTGGTTGGTTCTTTTTGTTTACCTCCAGATGTTTCATGGGTAAGGCTAAAACTCGAGATCAGAATCAGAGCAGGAAAGAGGAGGAAATATTTCTTTCTTCAATATAGAGCACATGGTCACATCAAGATGTGTTCTTATATTATCTGTTGCGTGTTTGCGCAGGGAAAGTGGGAGACAAAGAAACAGAAGAAGCAGTTTGTCTGTCTTTGTTTCAAACCCAAGACTGTAAGAGAATCATAAAGAAAACATAAAGAAGTTAAAGAAAATAACGTTGGAGAAAGAAACTCTTTGGGGGAACCGAACACGCTACACACAAGTCTGCACATGGCAAATGGAAGAGAAAAAGAGATCGATCTTAGGATTTTCAAAAATCCAGATCGTTCAATCAAGGTAATAAGTTATTAAACACAAACAATTTCGTTATTACGTAGATGTCATTAAGTATTCTCTTTTTCGCAAGTTTATGAAGACTCTTAAGAGTACAATAAGAAGTATAAATAAACTGGAAATAGCTTCTTTTGTTTTCACGTCTACTATGTAATGTAATGAAGAACAACTCACATAAATGTAATAACGGTATTAACCTTAGATAAAGTATAATTTAAATAATATTTTCACTGAAATATGCAAAAAAAAAAGTGATCCACGTTCTTTCTTTTTCGCACCTTACACCAACAATCTTCTTCGTCATCGTTATCCAACACATGTTCCATCATCATCATCCCCACATCGTAAAAACTCATGCTTTCATCATCGTCATGAGAACCACCATCTTCTTTGTCGCTGTTATGTCCGTTCTCTCTTTCCATCGTTTCAACTTCAGCTACTCCTTTATCTCTTTCATTTTCATCGCCAGTACCATTAAGGTCCGGTAAACAGTTAAGATTCAAAACAGACCTGGGTCCGGTAATGATCCAACACGTGGGCAGTTTGTAGCTGGATTGAGGGTTGTCGTTTGATCTTATCCAATGCACCTGGCCAGACCCTATTCTCCGGTGAGCTCTGGTCGGTTTCGAGGTCATTTTGGTCAATAATACAGAGGTTGGAGAGTTGACCATTCTAGAGTTAAGCGGTGGTGGAAGAATCCGGTAAATCCTGACTATACCATGTTGGTGACCTTCTCGTCTCATCTGAACCGTCTGATGAATATTGACCAGAATTTAGCTTGACGGATATAATAAGCCAAGAGCCTTTAATGGAGGAAGGAACCTACTCTAAAACAAAAGTCTTAACGTATACATCCAAAAGAGTTGTGGGTCAAGTTAATAAGGTATTGTTATTGATAAAGTGCAAATGTTAATTAATTTTGAGAATAACAGAAATGCAAGTGTTGACACTGTCACATATAGATGATAATAGTGGAGTACAAAGCTCTAATTCGGCAACACTCAACCGGAGGCTGTTTCTCTATGTTGCAGTTAGGAAACTTTATGCAAGAGTAGATACCCTAATAAGCAATAAAACAACAATAAGGTTAATTAGCTGCACATACAAAAGCCTCAACTGATCCAGCTTTCCAAGCTCAAGGGGTAATGGTCCACTTAATTTGTGATGCCTTAGACTCCTGCACACAAGAAAATTTAGAAACCAATAAGTGATAAAGCAAAAAATGAGGTTAAACCAAACATGTTTCAAGCTTAGAAAGCTGTAACTCTTTAAGTTTTTGGATCACAAATCATTCCATTCCAGCTTCACTGATCAGGATCCCCTGGCCTCCACTGACATATAACACCATCAGCCGAAGAACAATGACTACATAGAAGGCAGACAAAATCGTAAATCTCTCATCAATCACACGAATGGAAAAAAAAAACGGCCTACTCAGACTCAGAGAAAAAAATCAGATTGTAGACTCAAAATTTAAATTCCAGATTTTCTAAACGCAATTTTATTTTATAATGGGTCAAAACTCAATACCAAATTCAATTTTTTCGTCCTAATTTTCAACTATTTTGGTCTACCATTACAATTTTTTTACCACCCTAAAACAATCTAAACAAAATCCAATAACAAAGCTAAAAAAAATTGTAATTATATAAAAATATAATATTATAAATTTCTAGAGACCTACTTTATAAAAATACAGTTTAAAACAACTAAATTTTTTTTTTAAATGTCAGGTTGAATAAAGAAGTTAATTTATTTACTGTTCATATAAATTGTTAATTTTTAATCAAAATTTAAAATAATTTTGTTTACTCTATTTGAGTTGTGCACTGACAAATACATAAGTTGGGTGACTTTTGAACATTGGAAACCACTAATAAGGCTACTTATCAATTAAATCATTACACGGATTAAATATATAAATACTTTCTCATATGGATCCGATGGTAATTCTTATATCATCCTTATCAAACTGTGTAACTTCCATTCTTCCATTCATAGATAATTGTATACAATATGTAAAAAAAAATGAAAATCTAAGAATAAAATCACAATACTAGAACAACACAGTGCATTAACAAGGTGTTTGGCCCCGCGCTTACGCGGGGACTATGCCACTAGTAGGAACAACCCTAAACATTCAATTCTCACTCTAAACATGGTGAAAGAGTCAAAACTTAAACGAGTGTGGCACTCATTATTGGGTCTAAAAGTCTAAAAGTGCATTCATATTTTTAGTTACGGAATACGAAATCATGGCAAATTTAATTATGGGTATGAATAGTTGTTGGAAAATACCCCATCTTAAACCCAAATCAGACAAAGGCTGACATCGTAAGTGAGTTATGGACTCTTTGCATAAAATAACTGAAAATATGCTTATATTAATAGTGCGCTTCGTTTTTAGACAACATACCTAATAGTTTGAAAAAACAAAATAGAAAAGCAATGACATAATAAGCCACACCAACATGACAATCAGGCCCGGCCTAGAGAGTAAGCAACATAAGCAGCTGCTTAGGGCCCATGGGTCTTTTTACAAAATTTTACATTACACATTTTCATTATTTTTATATTTTCTATATAAGCCTAGGGTCCTTAATAAATTTTTGAAGGTTTAGCCCGGCATTGACAACATAAGGTGTCCATATTCATCTAACAGTACGGGCCTTCTTATAAGCATGCTCATTTATCTTGAGTTTAGGATTCTCAGTTGTGGAGATATCCACTTTAAGGAGTTTCCCCAAAGCTGCGACTGTAACACTTGATGTCTCCTCGGCATTTTTGTTGCCAACTTCAGCAGAGATCGATTTTTGGCATCCCACCTCCTTTCTGTTATATAGATTTGTAAAACATGAATTAGTGAGCGAATTAGTGTACATTCTAAGTCGATTAACTTACTTCAACACCAACATTTGGAATTGGGGCCTGTGTACGCTCGGTGAAGATTCTTTATATTGTGAAAGTCTCCGATGCTTCGGTGGGAAATTAAAAGCACTCAACTTGAGCTGAAAAGTGTAAGTACAGCCGATTAACTCAGTGATGATAGGTGGAGCCTTGTTAGCATGCTTATCATCAATGCCTCCTCCCTAAAGACAGAGAATCCATTTTTGTAAAATATGTAGCTTAAAAATTCTAGAATGATTAATTAATTGTAATCATACCATGGGTTCTTCTGCAGCTATGAATTTAGTTAGCTGGGCCTTCTCTCCATCAAAACCAACAAACATATCGTCCTCGATCCCATCTGATATACACATAGTAATATAACACACTTTTAATATGAATATTTATTAAATTATGTTTCTACTCATATGATTTTATGATTATTTGCATATTTGTGTAATAAAACTTTACACAAACAATTTTTTTTAATGCGAGATATTTAGTAGTTTCAATAATTTATAATCATTAAAAAACAATGACATATTTCAAAATTAAAATATTAAGTTTTCAATATATGTTCAATGCAAATATCAAAATATAAGTATGTATTTTCATACGATGTATAGTTTAATTTAAACAATATGAAACATATATATAAACTAAAAAATTATTTCTTCATATGGTCTTATAATCATTATCTTTTAATATAGAAAAACAATTAAAACCTTGATCCTAAAAGTTTATGTGAGACTTTTAACAGTTTTAGTAATTTATATTTATTTTGAAAAATTTGAAATACAACATACACAAAAAAAAATCTAGATTTTTATTATATGATTAATATACTTGTGTAATTTATTTTAATAATAAAGAAATAAACAAAATAATAGAAAGTATACAGATTGTTATCAAATCTTTATTGTTTAAAATCATTAATTGTTATATATATTTTTAATCATATTAGGTAATTCCGTAAGTTTTATTTAAGGAAAGCATGCGAAACAATAAATACTAGGATAAGACATGCGCTTAGCACAGGGTAAACATATATAATTAAAATATAAAATTTTAGTATTGACAAATTTAAAATTTAAATATGATTGTTTTTGTATGTATCTGAAATTTAAGAATTTTGAAATTTTTATATAATTATCTATACGTAGGATCAGAAACAATTTTAGTTAGAAATGTAGATTAGATCTTAGAATTTAATGGATCTGATTTCATATATCTTTTCACTTTTCAGTGTTCGAGTGATGGAAAATAAATGGAGTGTCACTGGGCTTGATTGGTTGAGTATTAAAAAGTTCTCTAATGTTTTTGAAGAAGCAATTGGTAAAATATTTGCATTTAAAATATATAAAGTTTCAAAACTAATTTAATATAATTTATTTATCTGTCTAATAATATTAGAAAATTATATTTTTTTAGAATTATTATTTTTTAAAATAATTTTTAAAAAATTATGTTAAATTTTAAATTATTTTTTTTTAAAACAATATTTTAAGTTTTTCAAATACAAATAAACAATTTAAAATTAATTATGGTCATGATTTAGCATAACCATAATGATTTAAAAAATTAAAAAATTAAAAATCAACAAATTAAAAATTAACTCAGTTTTATATAATGATTTAACAATTTAAAAATTAATTATGGTTATGAGAAGTTTACGTTCATGTGTCCGTCCTATTTATCTTCCATTTTTCTCTTGCTATGTTTTTTTTTATATTTTGGTTATTACTCGATATAAATATTTATTTTGAATTTTATTCTCATTTCATTTGTTTTAGAAAATACTTAAGATTTAAAATATTAAAGAGATACATACTTAGATTAAGATCTGCACTTTATGCACAATAAGTATTTTATATTTATTATTTATTTTATATTTTTCTGCATATTATAAATAATAAAATAATAAATATATATTTAATAACCAAGAAATCAGTTACTATTATGTAATAAATTGGCGTATGCATATAAATTTAACTATTACTCTTGTTTATTCACAATTAGGGTAAATAAATCAAAATAATCAATCTTATATATTGTATATGATATATAATTAAATTTAAATGATATAAACATAGTAATATAACACACTTTTAATATGGATATTTATTAAATAGGTTTCTACTCATATGATTTTATGATTATTTGCATATTTGTGTAACAAAACTTTACACCAACGAATTTTTTTTATGTGAGATGTTTAGTATTTTCAATAATTTATAATCATTTTAAAAAAAAACAATGACATATTTCAAAATTAAAATATTAACTTTTCAATATATGTTCAAGGCAAATATCAAAATATAAGTATGTATTTTTATACGATGTATAGTTTAATTAAAATAATATTAAATATATATAAACTAAAATTATTTCTTCATATGGTCTTATAATCATTATATTTTAGTATAGAAAAAAATTAAAACCTTGATCTTAAAAGTTTATGTGTGACTTTTAACAGTTTTAGTAATTTATACTCATTTTGAAAAATTCAAAATACAACATACACAAAAAAAAATCTAGATTTTTATTATATGATTAATGTAATTGTGTAATTTATTTTAATAATAAAGAAATAAACAAAATGAAAAAAAAAATATACAGATTGTTATCAAATCTTTATTCTTTAAAATCATTAATTGTCATATATATATTTTGATCACATTAGGTAATTCCGTAGGTTTTATTTAAGGAAATCATGCGAAACAATAAATATTTGATATATGCAACCAACTATAGCCTACGGAATATTATATTGCTAGAGAATATAATTTTTAAACTATACAATATATCACATGCTCTAGAATCCTTAAGATTCGAAATAGAAGCCAAGGAGCTATAT